TAAGGTTGGGGTGGAAGGCGTTGGTGAAGTGGATGAACTGTTCGAGCTCCTTGTGGGAGCACAAGGCGGCGCCAATACAGTCATCAATGTAACGGAGGAAGAGGTGGGGGATAGGGCCAGTGTAGCTACGGAAGAGGTTCCACATAACCTACAAAGAGGCAGGCATAGCTTGGGCCCATGCAGGTACCCATGGCCACTCCCTTTGTCTGTAGGAAGTGGGAGGAATTGAAAGAGAAGTTGTTGAGGGTGAGGACAAGTTCAGCTAAGCTGACGAGGGTGTCAGTGGAGGGGGACTGGTTGGGCCTGCGGGACAGGAAGAAGCGGAAGGCCTTTAGGCCATCTGCATGGGGAATGCAGGTGTACAGGTACTGGACGTCCATGGTAAAGGTGAGGTGCTGGGGACCAGGGAATTGGAAGTTTTGGAGGAGGTGGAGGGCGTGGGTGGTGTCATGGACGTAGGTGGGGAGTTGCTGGACCAAGGGGGAGAAAATGGTGTCGAGATAAGTAGAGATAAGTTCAGTGGGGCAGGAGCACGCGGAGACAATGGGTCGACCAGGGCAGTCAGGTTTGTGGATTTTGGGAAGGAGATAGAAGCGGGTGGTGCGGGGTTGAGGAACGATGAGGTTGGAGGCTGTGGTTGGGAGGTCACCTGAAGTGATGAGGTTGTGGATGGTTTGGGAGATGATGTTTTGGTGGTCGGGGGTGGGATCATGATCAAGGGGGCAGTACGAGGAGGTGTCAGAGAGCTGGCGTCTGGCCTCAGCGATGTAGAGGTCAGTGCGCCATACTACAACTGCACCTCCCTTGTCCGCGGGTTTTAAAGTGAGGTTGGGATTGGAGCGGAGGGCTGCATGTTCCGTGGTGGAGAGGTTGAGGCGATTGATGTCTCGATGGCAGTTGGAGATGAAGAGGTCGAGGGAGGGTAGGAGGCCTTGGGGTGGTGTCCAGGAGAAGGGGGTGTTTTGGAGGCGGGAGAAGGGGTCAGGAGAGGGAGGGTTAGGCTCACGGTTAAAGAAGTAAGCGCGGAGATGGCGGCAGTGGAAGAACTGTTCAACGTCCGAGCGTGAGCGGTATTTGTTGATGTTAGGGTGGATGGGGACAAAGGTGAGCCCTTTACTGAGGACTGACCATTCGCCCTCAGTTAGGGGGATGTCTGGGGGGCTGGCAAAGATTCGGCAGGGCTGGGTGCTATTGTCAAGTGCACAGGCCAGCTGTATGAGAAGAGGAGGGACTCTACAGCTAAGGAAGGACTGACAAGCAGAAACGCATGGAGAATAGTCAAACGTTACTACAGATATCAAATGATTGCAGTGCAACACTGACATTTTAAAAGCTTAACTGAGGAACATGCCACATTAAGCATCAGCTGTGAGATGTGTTTTTGTTAACAGAAAATTAAGTAGCAGCCAATAATAGCAAGTGTGCAGTAGCAACCTTATACTACTGTAACAGCTAATAACTCCAGACCTATAAGTTTTTGAAAAGGCTAAAACCAGAGTTTGAGGATTTATTGTTTAGGTAACTGTGGGAGTCAGTGGGTTTGTAGTGGATATTAGTGGCCAGTTTATCCCCAGAAATGGAAACAGATGTCAAGGGAAGGGAGGAGTCAGAGATGGACCAGGTGAAAGAGGGCGGGGTAGAAATTTGAAACAAAATCAATTCCTCGTCCTATCTCCTCCGAGACCATGGCCCCACCATGGACCATCAGGCCATTGTATTAACTACAGTCATAGACCTCATTTCATCTGGTGATCTTCCACACCACCCACCCCCGCCCGCCCCCGTACAACTGCCTCCAACCAGATAGTCACCCAGCCCCGCAGTTTGCTTCTTCCTCCTTCCAAAAATCCAAACAGGACTGTCTGGGCAGATGCATTGTTTCTGTCTGCTCTTGCCCCACAGAACTCATCCGTTCCTACCTTGAGTCAGTGTTTTCTCCCCAGATCCAGTCCCTGCCTGCCTACTTCCAAGATTCCTCTAAAGCTTCACACCAGTTTTGGAATTTCCAGTTTGCAGGCTCCAGTTGCCACCTCTTTACCATACACAAGCAATTCCTTTACATGTCCATCCCACCAGGATGGTCTCACCGTTCTCTGCTTCTTCCTGGAGCAAAGACCTGAACCATCCCCACCCACCACTACCCTCCTCCGCCTGGCCGAGCTCATCCCCACCTCAACAACTATTTAAAATTCCTTTCATTTGCCTTCAGTCAGAGGGGTGTCCATGGGTACCCGCTTTGGCTCCAATTATCCCGGTCTCTTTGTGGGGTACATGGAACATTCCTTGTTCCAGCTTTATCCCAGTCCCCATCCACAACTCTTTCTCCAATATATCAATGACATCATCGGTGCTGCTTTCCTCTCTCGTCCAGAATTGGAAAAGATCATCGATTTCGCTTCCAATTTCCATCCCGTCCTCACTTTCACCTGGTTTATCTCCAGTGAGATGCCACCACCAGACACAAGTCCCTCCCCTTCCACAGGGACTGTTCTCTCCGGGACACCCTGGTCCACTCTTTCTTCACTTCCACCATCCCACTTAGAGCCCCATGGCACCTTCCCCTGCAACCGCCAAAGGTGTAACACCTGCCCATTTACCTCATCTCTCAGTATCCAAAGGCCTAAACATACCTTCCAGATGAAGCAGCACTTTACCTGCACTTCACACAATCTGGTCTCCTATACATTGGGGAAATGAAGCATAGACTGGGTGACCACATCTACATTCTGTCCGTGAAAAAGACCCTGAACTTCCAGCTGCCTGCCACTTTAACACACAACCCTGTCCCTGTCCAACATCTCTATCTCAGGCTTGCTGAAGTGTTCCAGTGAAGCTCGGCACAAGCTGGAGGAACAACCTCATTTTCTGTTTGGAGACTCTGCAGCCCTCTGGACTCAATCGAGTTCAATAATTTCAGGGCCTGAACTTTCCCTTGTCCTAGCCCCCTATCACAAACACCAGGCCTTGTTATCACAATCTGCTATTACACACTACTTATTGTTAGTGACGAAGTCTCCATTAACAGCAATACACTCTCCCAACCAGATTGTTATCTACTCCTTTGTCTGTCCAACTGTTCTTTCCCTCTTTGGGCTCTATCCTCACCTTACTCCTTACTTCCTCCCCGCATCCTATTTTTTGCATATAAACCAACATTTTCCTAGCTACCATCAGTTCTGAGGAAAGGTCACCAGACCCGAAACGTTAACTCTTCACAGATGCTGCCAGGCCTTTTAAAGGTTTTAACTTTTCCTGCAACTTCTGTTTTTGTTAGTTGTTTGCTTGGCAGTTAAAAGTCATTCTGGAGATTAGATCTGGATCAGTTCTGAGGGTCACCTGACCTGAAACGTTAACTTTGATTTCTCTCCACAGATGCTGCCAGACCTGTTGAGCTTTTCTAAAATTTGTTTTTGTTTCTGATTTACAGAATTGGCAGTCTTCAGTTTATACTTAGGATCTGGAGTCACATCAAGGTCAGACTCAGTTTTTAATGACCAGTCTCTTTCCCTAAAAAGACATTTACAATCCAATAGCTCCTTCAAAAGCAAAACCAAAAGTCTGTGGATACTGGAAATCTGAAACAAAAACATTATCCTCACTAAAGATTAACAAGAAGCTATTATTCTAATGAAAGATAATTGACTTGAAATGTCAAGTCTGCTTCTTTCCACAGATGCTGCCTGACCTGATCTGCTTCTTATTAATCTTTAGTAACGGCAATTTAAAATTTCCGATTTAGTTAACCAAATTCAATCTAAAAGCTGCAATGGTGGGATTTCATAACTGTGCTTATATGTTTTGAGCAGGGTGCCTTGCTAAATATGAAGAGGTTGGATGTCCAGTTAACTTGCTACCCTCCCATATGCTCAAAAATTCAGTGGGTATCAAAATTGGCATCCCACCCACTGAATCTAAACAATTAAGAGTCAATTGAGCTTTTTATAAGCATACTCTGCCCAAACTATTATAGGATTGGCCTGGCGGGCTCTTTGGACTAGAAAGTCTGGGTTCAAGTCCTATCTGTGCCAGACATGTCATGTGTCTGAATAGGTTGATTAAAAATATCTAATGATTGGCCTGGGCAGTTGTGCGAGAGTAGGTAGCCATTTTTAAAATGGCAGGACGTACCATCTTTGGAAGGTGAACTTTGCCTATTGGGGGAAAATAGCCTTTCTTCCTACCCACACGACTTGTAAACCCAACTCTTTCACTCCACTTGGTCCACTCTCAGGAGGCGTACCCTCTCCCTGCCCAAAGCTGAAAGGCTCACTTGGATCTAGAATTTCACCGGGCTTTCTTTGCAGGTCTATCTGCAACCCCACTAGTGCCCACAGCTGGGTGGACTCCTGGAGCAGCCTGATGATCTGACGGGCTAGGAAATCCAGCGTCTAATTCTTCCTCCCTAGTGAGGGGTCCCACTCTACACTAATTTGACCTCACAGCTTTTACATTTCCAGCAACTGCAGTTTTTCAAGTTATGAAAATCTCAAATATTTACATATCTATTAGTAGGAAGGCATCAACAAACCCAGAATTTAAATAAAGCATGCTGAGCTCTGTTGAAACAGTGTTGACATCCATTCCTTCAACACAAAAGTTCAAATCCTTGGATCATAAATGAGTTAAGACTTACCATTTATCTTGGTAACTACAAAGCCATGGGGACTTGATAGGCTAAAGGTGTCTTCAAGAAATAAAAGCTTCTATAGCCCAGGAACAACATTTCTGTAGCAACAGTATTTTGAAGTGTGTTGCTGAGAAAATCGTTCCTTTGAATGAAATAAATAGAATAACCTCAGCAGTATTCCTCACCAACCTATTTAAGATACATATGTTGGATGTGGTGTCCATTTAGAAGTTGGTTGGTGGAAAACTGTGACCAATCTGATGCCTGAACATGAGTTTCTCTCGTGTCACTGCTGTGGTGTGTCAAGCTAAAGAGCATTAAAATGGCAGCAAGAATGGGTTATAAAGCTAAATTATGATCATACACCTGCATTTGTGACCACAATTTTCAGATTTTATTTGAGATCAGAATTAGTGATAAGTACAATCTTTTTCACTCTTTATTTGGTCTCTTGATTTACAAAGGTGCTTGAAGCTCAACGTGGAGCAAACTACCAGCATTTGGTTTTCCAAACGTTTCAACAAAATACTGGTCCATAAAGCAGCTTATTTCAGACAAAAAACCTTTTAAACATTTGGCTTGTCAGAACTCCTATGCAGGTTGCTGCAGTCCTTTGTCCAGCTGGTCCTAAGCTTATAAAAGAGGCCAACTTATTCGTAAATTGAAACAAATGTCTAGAGACAATTCAGTATATATTCTCAATTGACGCTTACATCCAGATGGTATAGAATAATTACCACTAGATGGCTCTGGATCATCCACTTTAATTGTGGTTCTCTTCAAACAGGAGGTAGAATTCAGACTTAATGCTATCTGTAGATTCCTTTTACTGTTAGAACTTTACCTGGTATCAGAAAACAAGTAGATTTGTATCCACTGGATTACCCTTTTCAAATTCGATTCGAGAAGCTTCAAAAAGAAGGCTCATTTGTTTTTTTTTCAAAAAGAAAAAAACTTTTCTATTCAACTTATGAGCTGCAGTATTAATAGTAAGCAAAAAGAATACAATGGAGAATCCTCTGGATTACCCTTTTCAAAAAAAACCTACCCAGAATTTAAGATATCTAAGGCACAGCCATTTTATAAATCAAACATCATACCACCTCTTTCTCACAACCTTTACAAGATTTAGACAAACATGTATAGCATTCTCTAGAATGCTCTTGGGCATTCTCCCCCAGCACTGATGTTAAGGCAAACGGTCTTTACAATTCCCAGGTTCATGCTTCACTCCTTTAAAAACTAAACAAATGAGGCAGTACTCAGTCTTTTGCAGTCCTCAACTGTATTTGAAGATCTCAATAAAAAAGCCTGACAATTTCTTTGCACATTTACTTAAAAATTACAGTATCTATCATTTCATTCCTCGAGTTTTCTGAAATGCCGCTCTAGGTGTTGGGCTTTGATCACAGGTATTTAATAGATTTGGCCACCGCAACTGCAAAGATCAAAATTGAATCCCTTGAACAAGTTGATTTACTGAAAGACATTAAGTAGTACCATGGGAGCTGCAAACTGGCACTTGCTTGAGAAATACAAACAATAAAAAAATTGAAATTTGAAAATTGTTCTAACCCATGAAAGTTAACCAGAAAAAGGCAACAGTTGCATTAGTGTGCAGGTTTTTAAAAAGTAAACGATGAATAAAGTCAATACAATGATTCAGCAAAATTTAACCAACTCCCAAGAGATTTGATATCATGATTAACCTCATTAAATGGGCTATGCTGGAAGGCAGAGCATCATTCCTTAAAGGCAGAACACTACAGATGCTGGAAGTTGGAAATAAAAACTGAAGTTGATGGAAACAGCAAGGAAGGTAGCATCTGTGGAGAAATGAGGGGAAAAAATTTAAGTTTAGTGCTTGAACAGAACTGGTTAGGGTTTGTACCTGAAATGTTAGCACTGTAGTGGGTAGAAGAAAAACAAACAAACAGTCTGTCCCACAATCGGGTCAGTATCATTTGACAGTGCTACTCAGTGCACAAAAACAAAAATGAAATCATCGGAGACACTTGCCATCCACCATGTGAGTCTTCTCCCGAAAGTCCCAGAAAGGTACCTAGGTTGCTGAATAAACTAGATTCTAACAAACACCTCATGCACAAAAAAAAGCAATGTAAACATCTTGTTTCACGTTTGTCATGTGTTGATCCTCCAATATTTCTTTTCCACTCCGCCTTTAGATTATCTGTTCTGCTTGTATTTTGTCCATTATGACTGGTTAAAAGTCTTTAATGGGTACGTATTGTTGCTATCAGAATGCAAACTTATTGTTTTTGTGAAAAAGAAATGGTTTGTAAACAGATGGAATAAATTTGTGGTATTATAGACACCCCTTCCAGTTGACCATAGTAGGACAGTAACTGAAGTTTTCCACGATGTCAGAGAAAGCAATACCCTTCTATTTGAAGAGAACTGTTTAAAACAAATTAAAATATGCAATTCCTTAAGTGTCCACATTCTCAAACACAGATGCACAAACACAGACACAATATGAACTTCACCATGAAGGTGGCACACATCAGAACAAACAAATCTCCTATGGTCAAAAAGCTGCACGTGGAATTCTGAATCAGCCTTAAGTCACAGCTATTTTATCTCTCACTGCATTACTGAAAATAATCTTAAAACAACAAATTAATCAAAATAACAATGCAGGGGTAGTAAGGAAATGGGAAAAATGAAATCAACAACAATTTCAACAAATTTCCAATTTAATGAACTGGGTTATTGTGCTATATGAAACTTCTATTGGAAAGGGGTAAGGGAAGAAAAGGAGGTGGAGAAAGCAGGAAAAAAAGACCCCAGGAAACAAAATCCTAATCTTTATACACTTTTAACATATATGATTATAGAAACAAACGCATGTGCTTACCAATAAAGTAACATACAACAAGGTGGGGGCTGACAGGGGTTGTGGGGAGAGGAAGAGGCATTTCAAATATTCATTAGACTACTATTATGTTAAACTTCAAGATTTGACACCAGCAATATAAATCACATTAAACAGACCAGTAGAGAATTGATAGAGTATAATTAAAAAAATAAAAGCTAAGCAGCATTATGCTAAAGATTATTTGTATTTATAGAAAAGCAGATGCAGATATCACTTTACAAAATATAAAATGTATTAACACTAATAACCACAGCACATAATGTCAACATAATTGATTATTATATTTTTAAAAAGTCATAGTGTAGTTCATTCTGAGCTTCAATCTTAGAGTATTTTACAGTAGCCTTTCGTTTGGTCTGTAACATTTTCTGCATGATAAAACAGCGAACCACAGTGTAAACTAACACATACATCTGTGTTTGCTACAAAATAATAGAAAACATACCATGATAACATTATTGTTTAAGATTTACCATACTGGAAAGAAATATTTCTCTTCCAAGTGAAGTGCTGGCCATGCGAATATAGCACAGAGGACCTACTCATTTTTACAGACAGATCAAGTGAGTAAAGTCAACACTAACAATACATCTTAACTGTGTGAAAAAACATTACAAACCAAAGACCAAATGAAATCATGCAAACTGCTGCATTCCATTAATCGTTATAACAACTGTAACTCTTTCTGAAAAGCTTTCAAGGCAACAAATTTGCTGACAAGTAATTTTCATCTAATATAGTGATCAGACAAATGAAATGCTGCTGCACTGCTGTTGGTAAGGTGTGCTCTACGTGAAGCACTTTAAGAGAGCCTATGCGGCACAGACAGTAAGTGTCTAAAGATTCAAAATGAATCAACAGTATTGGATATTAAGTTCTCAACTTAGAAGCTGCCTTAGTATTAGGTGCATCTTCAGTTAATGTAACAGAAAAACAGGTCAATGGATTTATTTTTTGTATCCACGCATGATCTGCCAAAAGGCCAACACAAGGCAGACAAGTTAAATTTACAAAGTTTCTTGGGATGGCATCAAAACTGCAACAAGTCACCTTTTCTATGTGCATTTTTTTTTTAAGATGTGGCACCAGGAGTTGGATTAACATTTTGTGTTGCAATTGTTGGAGCTACTTCAATGATCCGTGGTTTGTCTATGATCCTGGCACTACGATTGCCCTTCTCCACAATCCCAATTATCCATGCCTGATAACCTTCGCCGTATTTTGGTGATTTTATTTCTGCACAAAACCGAGCTGCTTGTTCCCGTGGAAGACAGATCAAGAGGCCTCCTGCAAGTAAAAGTGTTTCACAAGTCAGCCTTCAGAACATGGTGATAGCTAAAACTGAAGGAGCATCTGCCCACATTATGGGGCTATTGCAAGGGGCTCCCAGTACCTACCCAATAGTGATGGGGTTATCATGAAACTGGCAGGATTCCTGCTTACACTCAGCATTTAAGGATTTCAACCAGGAAGCAAGCTTAATAGAAGCATGAAAGAGGATAGTGTTGGGCCTAATCGCAAAGCCCCAGAAATGAATGGCACTCATGATGCTTCAAGTTCAAATGTAAAGAGTGCGATTGGGGTAAGGTATTAAGGGATAGTTAGCAACAACGAAATTCAGCAATAATTCAGCAAGTATGAGCACCTTCAAATGAGCAGGCAACAACCCAGAAAAAGAAGAAAAGCATTTACCCAGTACTGACCTAGGTAGAACACATATTCGATAATTGCACAAGTATTACATTGACTGGCTCCAGGAGCTAAATAATCAGGCCATGTAGTACTAGATAAATTTCCCAGCCAAAATAGAGCAATATGGTTTGAAGAAAGTGTGATGCTAAAAAATTTAAATCCACACAATTTTTACATCTGGTCAAGTCTACAATACATGTCATAGAAATAAAATACTGGCATTTATATAGCTATCTTAAATAGTTAGAACTGCAGACTGATTATATTTTGAACTACAGTGACTATGTATGGAAATGTGTCAACCATTCTGCACATAAAAATCAAAATGGAGGTGAATGATCCACTTATTCCTGTTTCTGACAAAGAACTTTTGGCTGAGACTCTCTTTTTCAAGCTGTGGGATTTTCAATATCCAGGGTCAGCCATAGCCCAGTTGGTAGCGCTTTCACTTGCACCACAAGCTCCTGAGTTAAATTCTCACTCCAGGGCTTGAGCATAAAAATCAAGGCCAACAATCTGGTTTAATCATGGAGTAGTGCTGATTATCTAGTCATTACCATATTGCTTTTTATGGAATGTGCAAATTGGCTGCAGTGTTTCCTACATTACAACAATGACTTCATTTTGAAAGTATTGACAAATTTGGTGGCTTTGAAAAGCACAAATGGAAGTCTTTCTTTTACAGGCAGACAGATCCCAAATGAATTAACTACAACTGCCCCAGGTATGTCAAACAAGACTATGTCCTTAAATCCTGTCATGGGGGCAGAGTCAACTGAGCCAAGCACTTATTATACATTACAAAACTGGAACTGCCTGTTTGCTCAGTCATGTCTACTGTATTAAAAATCACCCATTTTCAAAACATTATAGAAGTTACCTGATGTTTCAGGGCAAGTGCCATGCATCAATCCAAACATATTCCCACACGCTTTGCTCACTGCTGCCATTTTAGCAAGGACAGGAAGGTTATGGATCACAAATGACACTTCGTTTCGTTGTTGTTTTGCCAGGTTCTGAGCATGCCCAAGGATCCCAAAGCCTGTAATATCCGTGGCTGCATGTGCATTGAAGGTGTGCATAAGGCCGGCAGCTGCAAAGCAGGAAATTAGAGCAGACATGAATGCATTAACAAGCAGATATCGCAACTTGTTTACACATGTGTTGTAATTTTGAATATACGTGCAATTTTGTGCAAAGAAATCAGGAATTAATATTAAGTACTAACATTAGTTTATAAATGTCACATCAGAAAGCTTAATATTCAATGATCTTGAAACTCATAGCTGTCCTAACTGGTTTCTAAAAGCTCTCCATTCTCTGGTTAAGCAATGAGCAATCAAGAATATTAACCAATGTAATTGAAAACAAACCCCTAAAGTCACAGGTTTTAAATTTCAGAAACCTTCAATTTAGTCAAGCAGCTGAGCTGTACCAAAATCTCCATATTCATAGAGAAAGCAGTGTTCTAGACTTAAAAATAAAACAGCCACAATTATTCTAAGTTAATCAAACTGATGTCTGGATCAGTTTGTCAAGATGATTTAGCAATTTAACACAGTACCAAACTGCACAAATCAAGATAACTTGGAAGTCTGATATATGCTCGTAATAAATTCAGCTAACCTCAGTTAGAATGACGGTTGTGTACAACATGTGCAGAGAATAGTCGCTATTTTTGTTGAATACAAAGGAAGAAAAAGGGTGGTTTGTTTCCTCATTTCTTTAATTAGAAACCACAGGTTATGCTGTGTATCTTAGTGCTCAGTTGCAAAATCTTATTGTTAAAATATTTTAGATCAATTTCTCTTGGCAGACCAAATAGGGATGGCAGATTTCCTTACCTAAAAGGACATTTGTGAGCCAGATATATATTTCTGACAATCAGCAATGGTTTCATCGTTATCAGTAGATGCCTAATTCCAGATTTCTCTTTTATTAAATTCAAATTCCACCATCGGCCAAGGCGGGGTTCAAATCCATGTCCTCAGAACATTAGCTGAGTTTCTGGATTAAGAGTCTAGTGATAATACCACTAGGCCATCTCCTCCCCTCATGAAGAGGGATAGTACAACATTGTCATGCAGTTTTGAGAGAGGGGATGCCATAAGTATAATTACAGTGGTGGTAGTGATGAAATCAGCATGGGAGAGATTCAAACATGAGGTTGAAGGCTTATGTTTCAGAGCTGAACACTTACTCAAGGAAAGACAGGAGGTTGCATGGTGGAAGTACCATTCATAAATCAGAAGATCAAAAGGGTGATGACAAACAATACTTGAAGGGAGGAAACTATTTACTACGTTAGTCATCATGGGGAGCCTGGAAGGCAAGGAACTTAATGTGAATTGGATCAAGGAAACAGGAAGTGGATCTAATGGGTCAGGTGAATTCAGAGACAGCTTGGATGAACACAAAAAAGAGGAAAAAAAAAGACAGATTCTGGATCAAGGCAGAAGAGCCTTAAGGACAGTTTTACTTGGTAGACAACAAAAAGGGGTATATGGTAAAGGCAGCTAAACAGAGGTCCTGCATCTTAGTGATAGAAGGATGAAGTACATCATCAACCCCACTTGCTAGACTCTCAAATTTTATATAGCTAAACTAAATTGCCATCAGCCTCCCATGCTCCAAAATTAAAACTTCCAGCCCAATGCTCCCTCTTCTTTTGGGACAATGTGGCTGATTTTTTTTTTTTTTTTTTTTTAAAAACAGATTAGATTCTTTTGGTGCAAATACAAGCACTTACTATCTTAAAAGGGGCTGACCTGTGCACAGCCAGCATGGGAATTATTGGATTGCTGTATGCCCATATGGTTTAGATAGAACATTTCCTTGGAAGCTAAAATTCTCCAGACCTGGAATATCCTCAAAAGTCTTCTCTCTAATGCAATCACATACTTCCTACAATGCAGTGACCAGAACTGAACGCAGTACTTCAGTTGTGACTCATGGCAATGTAATCGAGCATAATCTCCCCTGCACTCAGCTCCCATGCCTCAATTATTAAAAGAAAGCATCTCACATCCTTGACTGTAACTTTTTCTAGCTGTTTGGCGACGTGCCAAGACTGTGTATGTTCACTCCAAGATTCCTCCACATTTTCTTACTGTTTTCCTACTGTCTGAAAACTCAATAATTTCTATTCATACAAGTTTAAATCAGTGATATGCATCACCTGACACAAGGGATATTAGCAGTGAGGCCTGCAAAATGTCACTGGGAACAGCCTTTTCAATCACAAAAATGATAATCAATCATTTTCTTTGCTTTCTACATAGACAATCTGCCACTTGCCCTAGAGTCCTAGGATCTTTCATTTTTCTTCCAATATCACCATCTGGAACCTTGTCAAAAGTTTTCCTAAAATCCAAGAAACTATATCAACCATTTCATTCTAAATCAACCCTTCTTTATTACCTCCTCAAAAATTAATTCAAGTTGGTCATAACTATCCCATAACAAATCCACACTGGCTGTCCTGCATCAATTTGTCTCCTTCCAAATGATAATTAATAGCACCCTTCAGAATTCCACCTCCCCAGTAATCTGCCCATCGTCAAGCATAGGTATGTTGATATGCATTGACAATACTGACAAATTCTTCCAATTCTGCTTCTTTGCAAGTCAAAAACCACAAGCATTAACAAAAGTCCTGCTGTTACAGGACTGCATCACTTAATGAGTAATCAAGAATGGAAAAGGTGTCCTTAAAAATTAAAAAGTGGCCCTTGACAAGATCTCAAGAAGAGTCTTGAAAAAAAAAATCAATTTGATAATGCAATAATTATATTAATGGACTGGCAATCCAGAGGCCTGGAGTAATAATCCATTATGTGCAATTACATACAGTCATATCTAATTTGGCAATTATATTTTAAATTGATGTTAATTGGTACTTTAACTTCTAAAGTTCTTCATTAATTTTGCAGCAAAAGAAGAAGCATTTGATTGTTTAGCGTAGATATGGAACAGTGTTTCAATTTTCATGATTGGCTAGTGTTCAGCTAATTCTCTATTCTGGCCTGAAAGGAGGTAGGTGGGAAAAGCAAAAAAAGTAGAGACTATGAGATAACAGACTAAACAGGTTGATAACATGTTGAAGTTTGCAAGCTCAATTAAGCAAGTCTATTGATGGAGGATGATTAGTAATTGACCTAACTCAGCAAAGACATTAATAACCAAGATGCAACTGAACTTAAATAAACTTCCTGCATTCTCATATTACTCAGAAAATGGGTGGTTGGGGGAGCGGAGTCTTTTATTCTATGTAGAGGATGGCAGAGAGTTAGGCAATTATTTCTGCACGTCAGATACAATACCACAGAATAGCCACCTATTTGTTAAGGGAGACTAGCAAGAACAGCACATTTATAATCTAGTTTACATTCTCAATGAGAATGAGATATTTTTTGAAGGACAAATTATTTAAATATTCTTATGGCATTAGTTATCAATAATGGAACAAATCACTTAGGGCATACCAGTTCTGTTTAATCGTGCCATATTCATCATTGCTTCCTGGTAAGCCAACTCCACATCCTCTTGAGTGACAACAAGCTTAATCTTATTCCATTTTTCTGGCTGTTCGTAAAAATATGGTACAGATAATATAAAATTAAAATTCGTCTAAAATTATACAGAAAGTACTTTCTGCAAATTAAAAGTAGGTCTACAAACATGCACTCCTGGCAAACTTTATTGATCAAGAATTTGTCTAATAGATGGCGATCAAAAGCAAAGCATAGATGAATTTCTTATGAGCACTGCAAAGCAGACAACTGTACGTGTCAGAAACAGAAAGTCCTAAAATTACCAATGTATAGCATACAATATAGAAACTCAACCACCAGAATGCCACAACCAAAAAGTATTGCATTTCAAACAGCCAGTGAGAAACAAGTTTACAAATGGAGAACTTTTAAGTTCTCAAAAAGAAACTAAACATGTGAAGGATCATCTTACGGCATTAGATTTTTCATCAAAACAATCATATGAAGAATTGAGAATTCTGAGACGAACATCCAGCTTTGAAGTGAATTTTGAACATTACTCATGAGTACTTTTTTTTTTAAAAAGTGATTAGAGGTAGAAATAGTTAACTATGTAAAATAACTTAAATACTGCACCATTATTAGTGCCCGATAACTCACTATATCAAGCCACTGGTGCACAGCAACTGCTACTTGAGTTCCAAGTGGTTTTGTTAGTACCAAAACATCGCCTGGTACTGCATTGTCCGGCCTGCAAAATAATTTTACCATATTATAAAGAAATGCACCATGAATACTTTGTAACTTCAATTGTTAACTTAACAGTTAAGCTAAATGCCTAAAGTACTGGCTAACATCCAACATGAACAATTGTGCAAACTAAGTTAGCTCAAAACAGAAGATTTGGCCAACGACTTTGGATGACCTAGGAATCCGCCTAGCACAGCATACGTAGTTCTATACAGTGATTGGAGAACAACATATCACTACACATTGAAAACTAAATTATATAAATCCCATGATTTTTTAATAAAAAAATGTTGTGATATTGAAAACAAAGAGCTTAGTCAAAAACAGAACAGCACAACATAGCCGTGTTTTAAGATCTGTGAACTGCTTTGACTTCAAACTTCTGTAAAATTATGCAAAATTAATACCTTTCCCCCCATTTGCTTCAAGAGCAAAGTCAACAGAAAGGTACATTCAACTATACTGTGCAGCAAAGATGATCAATATCATTAGTCATGAGCCTGGGTCTTAGTTATTTGCATATGAAGTTCTGGAAATGTTGATGATATGTACCAATATCCACTGAACAACTTTTAGTACAAGACAAAATCAACACCCTGAGAACTTGTCTTGGTAATACAATTAGAAATAGTTATCCTGGCATAATCAGTTTCACTAAACTTCTAAAAAGGAAATAGAAGGATGCAAGAATATTTTTGTATGCACTGAAAGACATACACAATTATAGTGGAAAACACATCAGATTTTTAGAAGAGTTAAAAATAATCTGAACATGGTGGGAAAAACAGACTCAATGACATTTACTGATGATACATTTTGAATTGAAGTGAAAGATATATTAGAGAACACAACTGCTATATTGTTGCATAAGCGTTTGATTTTCAGAATTCATTTCAACTATAGCTTATAAAATATTCACTTTCTTTCACTCAAGAAAGCAACAGTTTACCAACAGTTCTTATGTTATTTCCTTGTTTGGGAAAACAAACAATTTTCCACTACAATTTCCCACTGGAAAGAAAAGCATGGTGTGGCAAGTGATACACATACTGATGATTTCTCTAACATAAGATTATCATATCCTCCTCAAAATTCTTGCTTGTCTTGTTCTAACTGATTAACTCCTTTGTTAGCTTTGATTTCATAGACTCCTAGACCCTTCCCAACCAACCATTTATATGCAAACCTTGAGAACGTGGTGGACTACTGTAAGCCAGGGTACCCAACAATCAAGTGTGGCTGCTCCTCAGGCAAAACCTAGATCAATGTACTTTCAAGTTATTTGGCTAATTCTGCTTGTTTCAACCTGTGGGCTCTGATGTCAACTCAGCATCATGATCACTTTTTTGCCCCAGATGAGAATTGTCAGTTTACCCCTGCATGTGTGTCACAGTGATAATAATCTAGCTGGGGTCTGATCAGTAATTCAGAAAGATACAGCACATTTTCCTTTTTTGTTATATTTTGAAGCCAGCAGACTGAATTTTGCTGGCCACAACGGTCACTAACCGAATACATGGCTGCATTGATCACAAAATGATTCAATCAGCACAAGTCCCCATGCCCCAGACTGCATTTTATTCTTACAATATTACAATTTGGCACGTGTGTGGTGCACCACCTAGTGGTAGTGTTGCCCTTAAACATTTTTATAAAGGCTGTGTTTATGTTACAAAGATAGTGAAATGAGACAAATATCAAAACAACAACACTAGTACAACACAACACAGTACTTCAGTGTTCCAAGACTGTGTCAAGAGTGAGGGTGCAAGACCACCCCTCTAATTCCCTGCAGGGCACACGTATAACTTCTCTAATGCTGGAGAGAGGCCAGACACTTGCTAAGAGAGCAATATAAGAAAGCAACATTCTATTATTTCAGAAATAGTAAGAACTGCCAATGCTGGAGTCCGAGATAACGCAGTGTGTAGCTGGAGGAACACAGCAGGCCAAGCAGCATCAGAAGAGCAGGAAATCTGATGTTTCGGGTCGGGACCCTTCTTCAGATATGGGGGAGTGAAAGGGAGCTCTGAAATAGAGAGAGGATAGGTGGGGCTGAGGAAGGTAGGTGGGATGGTGATAGGTGAGTGCAGGTAGGCAGTGGTGGGAATTGGTCAGTGGAGGTGGGAGGAGCGGATAGGTGGGAGAGAAGACGGACAGGTTGTGTCAGGTCGAGGTGGCGGCGATGAGGGGGAGGGCTGGTCATGGGATGAGGCTGGGGTGGGGAGATTTCTCTCCCACCTATCCGCTCCTCCCACCTCACTGATCAATTCCCACCACCGCCTACCTGCACTCACCTACCTTCCCCAGCCCTACCCATCCTCTCTATTTATTTCAGAGCTCCCTTCCCCCTCCCCGATTTCTGAAGAAGGGTCCTGACCCGAAACATCAGCTTTCCTGCTTCTCTGATGCTGCCTGGCCTGCTGTGTTCCTCCAGGTCCACACTAATCTATTATTTCAGATTTCTTTCAGGGCTTCCTCAAATTAAGTTATTTGTATTTATTGCTAATTATTTGATTTAAATGATCAAATGGTAAGTTTATATAACTGATGACTAGTTAAAACCTGAAGTCCCAAAGTCGAGGGTGTGAAAAGACAACGTCAAATGCTGCATATACAACTAGAGGCAACCAATCAGTAGTACAACAGACCCCAAAATATTTGGACTCACCACAAAACAGCCACCCTATTCTATTAATAGTAATCAACCAAATCACGTTGGGTGATAGAGATATACAGCACGAAAACAGACCCTTCAGTTCAACTGTCCATCCCGACCAGGTATCCTATAAAAGTGTAGTTCTATTTGTCAGAGAAAGCTGGAACCGCAGATGCTGAAGGGTCCCAAACCGAGAGGTCGACTTTCCTTCTCCTCTGATGCTGCCTAACCTGCTGTGTTCCTCCAGCTCCACACTGCCGACTTCCATTCGCCAGCATTTGGCCTATATCCCTCTAAACCTTTCATATTCATATACCCATCCAAATGCCTTTTAAATGTTGTAACTGTACCAGCCTCCACCACTTACTCTGGCAACTCATTCTGTATACCCACCACCCTCAGCGTGAAAAAGTTGTCCCTTAGGTGCCTTTTATATCTTTTCCCTCTCACCTTAAATCTATGCTCTCCAGTTTTGGACTCCCCCCACCCTGGGAAAACACCTTGTCTATTTATCCTATCCATGCCCCTCATGATTTTATAAACCTCTTTAAAGTCACCCCTCAGCCTCCGATGCTCCAGGGAAAATGCCCCAGCATTTTTGGCATCTCCCTCCAGCTCAAACGCTCCAATTCTGGCAACATCCTCGTTAACCTTTTCTGAACCCTGTCTAGATTCACGATATCCTTCCTATAGGAGGGAAACCAGAATTGCACACAATACTCCAAAAGTGGCTGAACCAATCTCTTGTACAGCCGCAACATGACCTCCCAATGCACTTACCAATAAAGGTAAGGTTACCAAACGCCTCCTTCACTATCCAATCTACCTGGGACTCCACTTTCAAGGAAATATGAAGCTTCACTCCAAGGTGTCTTTGTTCAGCAACACTCTCCAGGACCTTACTGTTAAGTGTACAAGTCCTGCCCTGTTCTACCTTTTCAAAATGTAGCACCTCACATTTATCTAAATTAAACTCCACCTGTTGCTCGTCAGCCCATTGGCCCATCTGATCAAGATCCCGTTGAACTCTGGGGTAACCTTCTTTGGTGTCCACTACACCTCCAATGTTAGCGTCATCTGCAAACTTACTAACCATATCTCCTATGTTCACATCCAAATCGTTTATACAAAAAGCAATGGGCCCAGCACCAATCTTGTGGCACACTGCTAGTCACAGCCTCCAGTCTGAAAAGCAACTCTCCACCACCACCCTCTGTCTTCTACCTTCAAGGCAGTTCTGTATCCAAATGGCAGGTTCTCCCCATATTCCGTGTGATCTAACCTTGCTCACAAGTCTACCATGAGGAACTTTGTCCAATGCCATACTGAAATCCATATAGATCATATCCACCGTTCTGCCCTCATCAATCCTCTTTGTTACTTCTTCAAAAAACCCAGGTTAGTTAGACAATATTTCCCACGCACAAGGCCATATGACTATCCCTAATCAGTCATTGCTTTTCCAAATACATTTAAATCCTGTCCCTTAGGATTCCCCTCCAACAACTTGCCCACCACTGATGTCAGGCTCACTGGTCTGTAGTTTCCTGGCTTTTTCTCATCAACTTTCTTAAATAGTGGCACCATGTTAGCCAACCTCCAGTATTTTAGCACCTCATCTGTGCCTATCGATAGTACAAATATCTCAGCAAGGAGCCCAGCAAGCTCTTCCTTCGCTTCTCAGAGTGCTAGGGTACACCTGCCAGGTCCCAGGGATTTATCCACCTTTATGCGTTTTAATATGTTCGGCACCTCCTCCTCTGTAATAAGGACATCTTTCAAGAGGTCGCTATTTATTTTCCCAAGTTCTCTATCTTCCATATCCTTCTCCACAGTAAACAGATACAAAATACTTGTCTAGGGTCTCCCCCATCTCCTGTGATTCCATAGGAAGGCAGCCGTGCTGATCTTTAAAGGGTCTTATTCTCTCCCTAGTTACCCTTTTGTCTTTAATGTATTTGCAGAATCGCTTTGGATTCTCATTAACCCAATTTACCAAAGCTATCTCATGTCCCCTTTTTGCCCTCCTGATTTCCCTCTTAAGTTAACTCCTACCGCCTTTATACTCTTCTAGGGATTCACTTGATTCTGCTGTCTATACCTGACAAATGCTTCCTTCTTATTCTTGACCAAAACCTCAATTTCTCTAGTCATCTAGCATTCCCTACACCTTCCAGCCTTACCCTTCACCCTAACAGGGACAGTTTGTGGACTCTGCTTATCTCATTTTAGAAGACTTCCCATTTTCCAGCCATCCTTTTACCTATGAACATTCGCCCCCAATCAAGTTATGAAAGTTCTTGCCTAATAAAACACTGGCTTTTCCTTACTACCTTTCTTAAATAGTGGCATGACGTTAGTCAACCTCCAGTCTTTAGCACCTCACCTGTGGCTATTAATGATACAAATATGTCAGCAAGGGGCCCAGTAATCTCTTACCTTGCTTCGCAGAGTTCTAGGGGACACCTGATCAGGCCCCAGGGATTTATCCACCTTTATGCATTTTAAGACGGTCAGCACCTCCTCCTCTGTAATATGGACATTTTTCAAGATGTTGCTTGAAACTGTATTTTCAAATGCTTCTTACTCT